CTTGAGAATGAATCAGAAAACTAAAACTATGGAAGACAGGGTCTGCCCCAGAATAATAATAAATAAAAAAAAAATAAAAAAAATAAAAAAATATATATATATATATATATATATATAAAGCAGAGAAATATTAAGTTTTCCACACTGACAACAAGAACCAGTATTAATAATTGAGCACCAATAATAACTGATAAAAACTGAGCAACAAATCAGCATATTATAATTATTTCAAAATGATTGTTATATAGATATATTCTGATTTTTATTTTATTTTATTTATTTATTTGTTAATTTATTTTGTAGTTATATAATATGCGTATCATTTAAACTACATTGAAAATGTTTTATTCCAATACATTTATATTTGCTATTAGATTTTCTCAGTTAAAGACTTATGGCAATACATAATGAGAATATTTTTATTACATTTGTAAAACATGTGATAATATAAATAGAGTGAAGTAATTATAAACCATTAAAATATTTACCCCCGGTTTCACAGACAAGGCTTAAGCCTAGTCCTAGACTAAAATGTAAATCTGAGCTGTTTCAACTGAAAGAAACTTGCACTGACAGATCTTAAAACATGTCAGTGCCTTTGTTTTGTCTTAAGATGCACACCAGTAATGCTTTTTTCTAAGGCATGTTTATAAAAATTACTTAAATGTCCTAATTGAACTATGGCCTAATCCTGGTTTAGCCTAAGCCCTGTCTATGAAACCGTGCCTTCATGTATAAGTTATTAGTATTATTATTTGTATTATTATTATTCATGTGTGAAGAAAACAAAGAGATATCAATGTAAATATCAACTGACCAGAATATATTTTTGTGTTTTTTCGTAGTATCGCTTTTTCTTTTTTTCTTTTTTCTTTTTTTTTGTCATTTTAAAATTACGCTAAACTTTCACTACAAGTGTAAAATTAACAAGACAAAGGAGTTGGCCATTTTATTTCAAAAATAAAAGCAAGAATTTCCACTCCTGTCATTTCCACCACAGAATATCAGTTGAGATGTGGTGACACTGAGAGGGAAATTGTATGTCCACTGTTGGACATCAAATTAAACAAACTAGTGAGAGTGTGAACAGTGTTTTCAAGAGAGTTTGTTTTCTTGAACTCCATAAGGCTAAACGTGCACAGTTAAATAAACACCCAGTAAATGGCCTGCCACCCACAACCATAGCTTTGAGTCTTCCAAGGGCAAGCACCACTCGCACAGTGTAAAAAAATCTAGTTTCTTTCTATGGTTCTGTCAAAAAAAGCATTTTGAATATGCTGAAAAAGCTTCAGTTAGTTGTATGCTTTTCATAGTCATGGTTTCAGTGTGCTTTAAGAGGCATAAAAGCATCAAAAGCAGCATACTTTTCCATTTTTGCATATTGATATTGTGTGTTTTATTGTGTTGTGTTTTCAAGTGTGTGTTTGGCTGCTGATAACTGTGAGCATGAGTATGCGTTTTGCTTACAGTATGTGTGTGTGGCCTGGTATCACCTCCTGCTCGAGTCTCTGTCCCACTTACAAGTTTGCGTTACATGACTGTCTTTTTTTTTTCATCTGAGCTTCTCACATCAAACTCATTCCCTTTCCCCCTACTGAAGTGCTTCTCATGGGTTCCCATAATGACAAGCATCGCTTCCAGACTCTGATAGATGAATAGCTTTCCATGTATTATCACTGCATTAGCTGTGGAGACCACTTAATGTGATGGCCTCCGTCCCACCTCCAAAGAGTCATCCCCAGCTTTGATATGCTAATGGTATGAATTATGGGTAATATGTAAATGCTGAGTTATGTAAATGATGAGTTATTTTTGGCTTGGTTTCAAACTCACCTCCATGACAAACAAGGGGAATGCTTTTTGTTTCTGATTTTAGACGGCTCAGAAAATGATGTGAGCTCTTTATGCAATACGCTGGGAGACAAATGCTTGTAATTACTGTATGTGTGCGTCAGCATAAGTGTATAATTGTGGTAATAGCAATTTGTGTTTGTGTGGGTGATCGTGTGTAAGGCAGGAGCTTCAGCAGTCATGAATACGTAGCTCCATTTAAATATGGCACACACATTGTTTTTAACCCTACTTGTGTTATTAACTCCTGATAAATACCACTCGAAATACACAGACCAGTTTTAATTGAGCTGGAAATGAATTTAATGCTGATTTAGAATTAATCTGTTTGTTGAACAGAATTACCTAACTGAACCTATATGCAAATAGTGAATATAATTATATCTTAGTGTGTATTCTTCTTATGAAACAATGAAACAATACTATTCGCATAGGTTTCAGTTGCCACTATATAAAAATACTTTACAGTAAGTTTGTACACTAAAAAATGGTGTAGGATTGCTGGTAAATTTCACTAATTACAATGAAAGAGCAAGTAACATTGAATTTAATAAGTAAAATAAAAATGACATTTTGAAGTTAGCTTAGTTTAGTTTGAGAGCCACTTGACCACAGGACTTAGTATTATTCCTTCAAAGTTTATTTTAACATCTTTTTCTCAAAACTAATTTTTAGATTACATGTGCCATTTAGTTTTTAAATACTGGGTTGCATGCTTTTTTGAAAGAACATTAGTTTGAAAATCTTTTTGAGAGTAAGTTTGAAAACAAGGTTGATGGCATTGTAACATTTATCTGCATAATGCATTGTGATTTAGTCTTTTTTCTTTCAAACTATAAATCCAATTCATATCTGTTGATCTTGATAATAGCCGTCAATCTTAAAATATAACGTTTGAATCACTATTTATGTTGGTATAATCAAATTAAATTCTAGCTAACTGTAGTTTGTTACAGTAGTGTGCAATATATAAAACATATACATATTAAATATATATTTAATAAATTTGGTTTGTTATTCCCTTTGAACCTTTTTTCAAACAGCTGTAGTGGATATTTTGATTGCACTATTGAATAGTTGTGAATCAGATCATTCTGAATATGCAAAAAAAATAAATAAAATGCTTCTAAATTGTATCAAAACCCAGTGAATCATTAATCAATTTGATTGACAACCCAACAATTCACACCCCTAATCTATAGCTGTCTTTATACTCCAAAGATGGTGTCACATTATGTGATTTTAATATATTAGCAATGTTTAAAGCAGATCTGATGTGGCATTTCATTTATACAGAACCAAAGCCTAAATCCTACAATAAGCTCTGGTATTTCATCCAGGAAATGCAAATCTAGGGTTTCACAGTAAGATGTTTTTTATAAGATTAGGCTTGATCTAGACAGGTGGATGTTTTAAAATGATTCATATCCTTCATAAAGCTCACATTAGCGGGTGTTTTTGTGACATACACCTTCTTGACTTCCTCTCTCCAGAGGTTGTGTCTCACATTTTCCCCTGCACCACCCAAATTTGCCGCGGCCATCATCTGCCACACCAGGGCCATGGCTCGGGGGTTAGAGGTCACATTAGCGCAGCGGATAATTAAACCGGTGGTGGCACCTCGTCTCCCCAGCACTGGGCTTTTCCTACACCTGTCACTGTTAATTGACCATTATGCATATATGAATCTACATTATTATAATCTCATCAGTCAGTCTCAGAAACGTTCAGTGTGGCGAGAGGTCATCTTACGGAGAAAGAGACTGAAGGATGAATAGATTGTGCGTAGAGAGAGGGGGAATAGAGGAGGTTTGCGTGCCCATCTTGAAGCACTTCTCTTGAGGTGTGAGAGGAGGAGGAGGAAGACCCTGCAGCTGAGGCAGATGTTTGCTCTGTAGGCATTGCTGGCTGACCCTCTGTC